AACGATGGATTTTACCACTAAACCACTGGCGCTGTTGTTGTTGTTGAGGTGCTTACGGTGCTCTTGGACTTATTAGTGTTCATGCACGCTACCCGCTTGAGCTGTATGGGGAACAATGTATCATCAATGTTACCGTAACGCATACGCGAGAACATCGCGGACAAGAAATGGAAAATCCTACTTCTTGAACAAGATCATTCTGCCGGATATGTGGGGAATAAGTTTGTTCCGGTGCCTTGGAATGCAAGCTAGTTACAGTTGTGTGAGTAATGATGTAGAGCAGTAGAGAAGTTAATAGTGATGAGATATATAGAGGTACTATTTGCACCATCATATCTGGACGCCCTCTTATCTCGTGCAGTGAGAGACTATCTCAGGGTAAGTACTCCTTTCCAGTCTTGTTGCAATTCATCTCGTTCTCTCACTTGCAAGAAACTCTCAACGTACCAAACAAGTTCTAGCAAAAAAAAAATAATCCTCGTTCGGCGTGAGAGTTCAGACACGGCTACCTTTCCGAGGAAGGCCCGTATCTGGCCCAAGATATTTCTCTCCAATCTTAGCGCGGGTATCCTCCATGTCTAACAAACAGACACTACATGTGATTTGGACACCAGACAGCGCAGAGAACCTATCTCTCTCCCGAGTAGCAGTCCATCCGTCAATGATCACAAAACATTCATGTTGCACACCATGCTTGCGACGACACATTTACATGAAATCGGGTTCAGTTCCCCTTATCACATTTTTTCCTTTTATTTGCTTTTCTTTTCTTCCTTCCCCTTCACAAGCTCCAAAGAGACACATAGCCTCTACTTTCTCCCTCTCCCTCTCTAAACCCCCCTCATTCTGTCCAAGCATCATACTCCTCCATCAACTTATTAAACCGAACCCCATTCGGGAACTTCTCACTGCCCAAATGCGTCGTATGCGCCCACGGCTTCTCCTCCAGCTCGGCTCTAAGCGACTTACTAAAGCACCTACTCCACCCACACCTCTTGAACTTGGTGACCACCTGCTCCCTCGTCTGTGGGTGCACCAAGTACGGCCTTTCGCTCATGTTGTCATACACGGTAGCCAGCTGGATCAGCTGCCCCAGAAAGGTGATGGTGCCGACGGTGCCCTGGTCCTGGTGGCGGATGACGGCCTCGGCGACGGCTTCGGCTTGGGATTGCGCGCCGCCGAGTTGGTGCTGGATGAGCTGGAGGGCGATGAAGCCGCCTTGGAACTCGAAGGAGAGTTGGGTGCTGGCGCGGGCGGCGGGGGTGGTGCCGATGTCGTGCAGGAGGCAGGTGAGGGCAAGGGTAGAAGGCGAGAGAGAAGAGGCGTGGGTGGGAAATTGTTGGCGGGCGATGATGGTTGCTTTTTTTTTGTTGCAATGTTTAATTAGTCTTGAGTACTAGGTGGGGAGTGAAGAGGATGAGGATGAGGATGGTAATGAGAGGATATAGCTTACCCCAGTGGAAAACTCGCATGGAGTGGTTGTAGGTCTCGATGGGAAGCTTCTCCTTGGCGTATTCTTGAACTTTGGCTACGATGGGATCATCGGATGGCCAGGCAATATCCGAGAGCGAGACGGGAGTGGGCTCGTTGAGGTACGGCTTTCCTTCGAAGATGGCATCGGCATCGACAGGCACAGCGGTCCAGCCGTGGAGGCCGACGGTATCGGTGTTGGGGCACATGGTGACGTTTGGTTTTTGGGGAATGATTTGGGACACAAGCAATCAAGTTATGTTCTTTAGTTCTGGATGTTGATATTTATTCTACCATGCTTGGCGAGGTGAACAATGAGCATTTATTTCACATATATCGTCGATCAAGAAGAACTGGGGAAGCTGACTCATCGTTTACCCACAGTCTTGGGTTCTTAACGTCGACCCGCCTCTCCCGGTGAAGCGATCCCCGTGGTTGGTCGAGATTTTCTAGATGTACGTAAGTATTCCGTAAATAATCATGGATGATACACGAAAAACCACGTGTATTATATTGTGGTTCCAATTGACGCCGTGATAGATTTGACGCTGGTGTGAGTTCGGGCAGTGACGGCGACTCGACGAGACTGCTGTGTTGGTTCTTCTGGAATAATACTCAGTGCTTTTTTGTCGTCTGTTGACATACATGCGACGCTTTTGCACTCTTCAATCAACATTCATTCGAAACGCCTTCAAGTAATGACCGCATCGTCATTAATGTCGATGGAGAGATTTGTCATCAAGACGTCAGTCGGAAACTTGTGATGCGATGTTATCACCAGGACGGTGGATTGGTTACGGGAAGACCTCTGAAACGACCATGAAATGGCCATTGGTGTAGGTAACTCAGTATCTAAGTGCTACATACAACTGTTATGGGAAACCCCAACAGTGGGTTCCGCGGGATGCGTCCGAGTGCATAGCGTGTGGGGATCACTAACTGCCTGTTTGAGGGCGGGTGACTTGACGAGGTTTTTACTTGCATCTTCCACAGACCATCTGCTATTTCCGCGGAGGACCAATTCAAGACGATTTGAACTATCAGCGATGGAACTTTGTGTTGTTGACTTGCTCTATGTTTATCATTTCTGTCGTTCAGCCCTCGCAAGTCGAGCTGGTACCATCCCGTATGCTCTTCACAAGACCAAGACAAACCACCATGAAAATCGCCTGGCGGAAACGTCCAAAAGATTACGGAAAGGGTGATAACAAGAGACAACTGGAAAGAAGAGAAACACACCTTCACGAGACGCTAGCTCTAGCAAAATTAGTGGCCACAAGCTAGGTACCATCAATTTTGCTGGTTAGCATGTGATGTTTACCTGAAACACCCATTAGACCTAGCCACAACCGCTATGTACGGTAACGGAATGAAAGTTACGAACTTCCACCTCTCATCACATCACACATACATACATGGCTTGCTTTCTCCTTCAGTATACCCCAGCGGAATAGTTCAATTCACTGATCTTGAACTGGGTCTTTGATCCGAAAATCTGCTTCCAATCTAGTAAATAGCTGGTAGAACAATGTTCCATCTAGTCCCCAGAAAAAATTCCGAAGTTTGCTTATCCTTGTTGATGTCGAAATAACCTGCCTACTCTTCCTCAACCACTCTCAAGCTCAAGTATATATCTCCCTCTCTCCAATCACACTTTCCACATAATATCTTTCCTCAGCTTCCATTTTTCCCTTTCTCAAATCCAATCCCCCGTCACAGCTCGCTAATCCAATCCTTCTCTACTATCGGCTAGACAACCCTTGTCTTGCATCATTGCTCACAGTAGCACGCCTTGCAAGTCTTCATAAAGTTATTATGGAACCCCTGCGCGTCGCAGTACGCATTGGCATTGCTGGCCATGCACAGCGCATCGAGCCGCGGGTCGGGGCACCTGGGGGTGCCGTAGTTGACCTGGACGGCGTTGACGTTGGGTTTCGCGGGACCCTCGGTGGCTTGTTGGGCAGTAGGCAAAGCAAGAGCTCCGGCGGTGAAGAAGCTGAGGAGGGTGATGAGGGCGTTGGAGGTCTTTGGCGGTGGAAGAGTTAGTCGAGGGTTGGTTATGGGGGCGAAGGTGAGGAAAGTGAGGTTTGGTCTTTTGGAACGCTGCAGATGTGCAGGAAGGGAATTGAGGTTTCACAAGACGGAGTTTACTTACCTTCATTTTGACGACGGGTCGTGTAGGGCGGGATAAATGTTCAATATGAACGTTGAATTGGGCTAGAAACTGTGGTCAGGTCCAAGTCTCGTGCGATCAAAAACACAGTCTGTATTCTGGATATTCAAAAGTCCAGATGGTACGGACAGAAGGGTTGGGGTAGTATAGATGAACGGGAGGTTGGCTGCGTTGTATGTGTCGTGTGTCATGTCGTTGTAGATGTCGTGTAATAGTAACGAATAGTGTATTGGCTGGGGATGATCCGCAGGGGAGAAGCAGGAGGCTCACCTAGTGGGCACGGGCAAGGTATGGTGATCGACGCTGTCAGGTATGAAGGAAATGATCTTTTTCTTCCCGAAACCAGTCTTTATAGATTGATGGTACAGGGAGGAGGCTTTTGTACCCAGACAATTGGGAGTTGTTGTTGCTTTTTGATATCCACTTGTAGAAGAAGAAAGGAAAGCCACAGCTTCAAAATCAAAAGACGAGGTGGTGCACGGCAACCTTGTTCATGATGCTTGTTCAGGGTCGAAAGCTAAGCCGTTGGGGTTTAGAACGTTGAACTATTCTCAAATAGTTGCGCATAAAATGGAAAAGATGAAACCAACCGCCACGCTAGGTTTGAAGTGCTCTATTTTTGACAACCGTGTTGAGCCGAAGAAGCAAGCAGTTTACTTGGTCCGATGACAAGCGCAGAAAAGCCAAGTAGACGGGAAAAGGCGGCCGTCTGCGCGGAAAGTAGGCAACGAGAGTGAGTGATGTGAGAAGATCTAAAGAAGGTGAGGAGATGGTGAGAAGACCGGATGACACCTTGACTTTAGTCCACCTCGAACCGGAATCGCAGCTGTGTGTATGTGGATTCCGTACCACAATTTGGTTCCGATAGATGACATTGGAAAAGGCAGAACTTATACCCTGGGAAACTGTCTGATCAACTGAAGAGTGGCAACCCCAACTCCCATGAATCTTTGAGACCTGCCGCTTCAATGGAATGCAACCCAAGGCATGGATCAGGGCGGCGGGGGACGGTTGACCGAGGGAGGGTAACCCGGAACATGGGAACCCAGCAGGGGTAGCACATTCGCCGATCCAGGGACTAAAGTAGCTGGATGAGCACGGTTTTCCGATGGGGAAAAGAGCCTCAATGGAGTGAAGACGTAGGAACCGAGAGCGCCATACAGAGTTTCTGCCCAAGGTATGCTGTTGATTCCCCGGCTTGGACCAAACAGACTAAATTGAGATGTGTTGGTTCTATGTCAGGCAAAATGTGGTGGATATAATGCTCGAAATGTTGGTTTGAACTGGCCGAAAAACCACGAGTATGTACCTAACTAAAGGGATGTATGCTTGTGCTATATATACATCTGCCAAGTCAATGAGAGACGCAATGAAGCAAGGGATCAGTGGCGTACCTACAACGCTGAATATGAGCGATGTACTCTGCTCAACCATAATGTGATGAAAATGCACCCAATTTTCACCAATGTCCACGATGTTTGAGATTCGGGTCTCGAAAAAACAAACCTGGACATGTCCGCAACAGCAACCTGCCAATCTCGGACGAGGGACATGCCAGGACGACTAGAAACGGAAATGATAATCAGCAATCTCACCTCCCGCGTGCCTCTGTAATTTCATGGACCCCGCCGTCGGTCGGTACCTGATTATGTATCTGCGAAGGTGCAGTACAATCATGCCCTGAACTTCTGGGAAGACATATATAGGGCCAGAGTTCCAGCCGTTTGATAGTCTTGGTCAATCGAACGGACGAATCGTGTGCTATAAACGCCCTTCATGAAAACGACGACGAACTGAGCATGAGCAGCATATATTCGACTTGCAAATGCAATGCTTGAAACCTGCGGATGAATAACAAATCACATTTGAATAATGTTCAATGGTTGCAGAAACCCATCGTCAATGGGAAAATGGGAAACAGATGGGACCGTATACGAGCCATGGACGCAACGCCCTATGCGGCCAGGATAGTATTCGTTGCCAAGTGACAAAGGCCACGTTGGGTCAGGAAATGGTCCGTCAAATGATATATCGTTCCGAAAAATGCACAATGTGTTGGCTATAGGACCGGAGGCCGGGACCGTTGCCGTGTCGAGGGTCCAATGGATGCCGCCTGTAGAATAAGTTGGTTTGTTGATTAACTGTATACACCTGCGCTAGCCTTCGGAAAAAAGCCAGATTAAATACCCACCATTGACTGTTTCTAATAATACCGCTTCAGAAGAGGAGTGTAGTTGTGAGATTGCCAGCTAACCTCAAGCCGCAATGCGTCGAGGTAACGGCGCATCCAAGTGACATCGACTCGACAAGGCTCCAGATACTTAAGCACATGGTAAGCAAGTTTAGAAGAGGGAAGAAATGTAGGAAATGTCAAGATATATAACTCTATGTTGTGGCTATGTAAATGCATAAGTGATCGTCATTGTCGATATCGTAGCGTTGCGTAAACGTACCGGCCGTAAGCGCCTCTTCTTCTAATCCCATATCCAACTAACAGCCCGTGCCCACCCTTTCGTCTTCCCTTCTTCGGGGTCCTCGAAAATGGCGTCTTCGGCTTGCTCGAACGCAATATCAAGGGGGACGTCATCCAGGGACACGATCTTGGTCTTCTTGTAAAACTTCCAAGCCAGGTAGGCGATGAGGACGATCGGAATGTCCCTAGTCATTCGTTAGTATCCTTGCGACTATGGTCTGATTAATGTAGGTGAACTTACAAGTATGAGGAGACAAATGTAGCGGCATCCCAGTTACCCTTGGTAAAAACGCTGAAGCCTCCTGTTAGGAGAATGACGATGCACATGAACAGGGCTACCGGCGAGCTGTAGACTATAACCGGGAAAGTGATCAGTCTCAGATCTGGAATCTAGCTTTGACGACAACAACTTACCAGTCCACCAGCTGGACCACGGCAGCCTGGTATATGCAATGCCCTGCCTGTCCATCGCCTTTCTCAAGCGAATATGATTCACCAAGATGGATGACCAAGACACCAATACTCCCGCCGAGGTCAGCCGTACCAACCACCAGAACACGTTGATAGCGCGCTCCGAGAGGCTCATAAAGCTAAGAGACATGAAGACTCCAAACAGGAGTACACACA